GATGTCCACCTGCAGCTTAGGCCTCCCCCCCACTGGCAAGTGGACATCCCTCAAGGGCTCCCGGGCTGCCAGAGGGATGTTTGACTACCAGCTTAGGCTCAATCCCCCCAGGGAGTGGGCCTAAGCCAGCAGGTAGTCATCCCCCGAGGGGTCCCAGACTGCTAGAGGGCACAGGTCGGGCTGAGGGAACCCCCCCACCCCCGAGTGCACAAATTTTTGTGCACCAGGCCTCTAGTTTAATTATAATTTTGTATCAGCCTGGAAGATTATATATTGGAAACAAGGTAAACCTGTAGTTTTGCATATTCTGGTGACTTGACTTGGGCCTTATGTATATACTGTGATCTCAGCAACCTCTTCTGCCCATTCTTTTTCTTGTGTAGGTGTAATTCATCCCATCTGCCCTTCTGATGTCTCTAGGTAGAAACAGCAACAGTAGCCATTCTTTTGAGCACTAGTGAGTACTTGGGGTTGAAATTCCTAAGGCAAGAGTTTTAATTTTCCTTTATAAAGTGCCATTCTGTATATTTAACAAATGTCATAAAGAAAAAGAACTAAATTCAAACCGAGAAAGTGCCAAAGCAACAAAATAATGTGAACAAAACAATCATTACTTTGTACAAAGGGAGTTCAGTTTTTTTATTCTTTCTTACAGGGCCTATTTTCTATATACTTAATAATTTTAACATTACTAGACCAAATTCATGTTACTGACATCAGACTTTAATTGTGGGATACTTAATACATAAAGGACTCTCATAAAACTTATCTGTAGCTGAATCTAGAAGATCATTCTACTCTTAGATCCTATGTTCTGTATTTTATAACTTTGTTCAGTCATCTTTGAGACTTTAAGGATGGTCAGGGATAGCACCGATCAATGAAATAGGGTTATCTAAAAATTCCATTTTTAGCAATTTCAAAAATACATGATTTAAATGTTAGGTTCTTTTCCTTTCCTGTAAGTTAATGAATGTGTTAGTGAGTACTAAAATGGTTATGAAAATCCTGAATCAGAAAAATCTGAATGTACTCATCTGAGTACCTTTTTAAGGATCTCCTTTTATCACCCAAGCCCAGTAGTTTCTAAGGCAACTAGTCTTCACAGCTACCTTAAGCTGGAATGACAGAAATGGATGTCTTTTCTGTTGATTTCTGGGAATCTAGTTTTGTTCTTGGTCACTCTCCTGTTCAGCTTGAATGGATATTCATTTGTCTGGTAAGCAAAGTTTCCCTTCCATTTGGTTTTAGAGCATAGATACAAGAGGGTGGTGGGGGCAATGATTTTGGAGCTGGTTGTTTAAGCTGCAAGTTCAGGGGCTACCACAGTGACACTTCTGTAATTGGTTAGGTTCTGGAACATGTTGCAGTCCATTTCCACATTGAGCCGCTGGAGCCCCACCTTCACCGGTGTGAACCAGAATTGGGTGCACAAGGTGTTTCCAGGTCGCACGGGACCTAATCTGAAATAAAGAAAAAGGCAGGTGCTAGTTCTGTCCCAGGCTGGTTGCTTTCCTGGTCCTAGTGACTCTGATCCTTTCCTACCTGAAGAGGTGGATCGTGACCTAAGTACCTTGCTGTTGAAAGAGGAGGTTTTAAGGGGGTAGAAGACGGGAGCCACCCTATGATGAGCAGTTTCATGAGTGAGAAGAGAAATCCTATTCTAAGGGCTTCCAAGCTGCATCTGTTGTTTATCATCTGCAACTTCAGTCTGGTCCCAGTCTCTGTAACAGTATTGGGGTGTGTTTGGAAAAGCTATCACTTTGGGACCCTCACACTGCTAAACACAGTGGGTATGGCAGGTGTATTGAGATGTCAATAGCCAACAGATGGTGGTTGGAGCCCTATCAGCAGCCTCCTGGCCTGCCTGTTGGCCTTATGGTGACTGAGGGAATGGTACAGATTTTCTTTGAGGAGCTTTGCCCCACAATTGATCTGGAAGACCACAGAAGTCTGGTTAAATGTTGGCAGTCCCTCCTCTGAACTTATTGGCAAGAACAACTCATTGAGTTTCAAGAGGCTGAGGCAGTGGCTCAATACTAGACAACCTGTTAGGGACCTCAGAGATGGTACAATAGTCACTGTGAACTCTCAGCTATATACTGTGTTATTCAGCGAAGGATGTAGAGGACACAATGAGAAGAGAGATGATGAAAGAAGATACTTGCAGCATCTAAAACCAACAAGGGACTAATACCTAGACTCTACAGGCCGCTCCTACAAATCAACAAGGAAAAAAAGTGGGAACACCAAGAGAAAAGTGGTCAAAGACCATAGAGAGGAGTAAATGGAAAAGGCTTATAAACACACGAAGAGTTAAAACAATAGTGAGATATTACCTTATTTCCATTAGACTGGAAAAAAGAGAAAGTTGGGTATTGCCATGAGTGGAGGAATAGTAGGAATATAGAAACTGTCATGGAGTGCTGGAGGGAGTGAGGCTTCTGCAGCCATTCTGCAAACAAAGCTGATAGTACCTGGTCAAATCAGGTCACATCCTATGACTCAGCAATTTTATTCCTGGGCATATATATCCTTTCCTCCCCCACCAAAGTTTCAGACAAGTACATAAGGGGCCATGTGGAGATGTTCATTGCAGC